ACATTCAGAAACTCTTATCTTATTTTTATATACATGTTCAGTGAATCATTGTGTTGTTCAATGCAGTTTGTTATGTTTCTGTACGTGAACTCGATTGAGCCTGGATTGTTGGCCTTCATTGCTGTTGACATTCATGTACAAACAAGAGTGATAACAAGGCTCATTGGTTGGGTTTTGTAACATAATTACACTGCAATTTTGTCCCAAAAAATATGTTTGAAAAGTACCTATCTAATAGCAAAGATGAGAGCAGCAATCAAGCAGTGAAAAGGCAGTTTCATGTGGAGCAGATAAATTGGAGAGTAGCTTTATGTCTGGCAGGTCAAGGCACCAGAGAGCTCACAAACAAATGCAAGCTGTCTGGGGAAAGTGTGTTCATTCATTAATTTTATTCACCATCTTGTCTAGTTGGACTGACAGAGCTGGAGTCCATGCTCAGAAAAGCTCCCTTGACCTTAAAGCACAAGTTCAGATTTCATTAGTTATTGACTCAGTGGATTATTTGCATCAGCGGTCACAATTCTCTTCTCTGAGAATGACATGTTTTTTTTGTATGTTAAATTAGGCTATGTTAAATAATTACCAAGATGGATTTTTAAAATGGATTTCTGCAGAATTTAACCTAACCTTGAGTCTCTTCCATCTGCAAAGCCAATGTTTTAAGTTATTCATATGAATCTGTTAAGAAATTAAAAATTAAAAACGAATTAATATCTCTAGTGGATTTTAAAATTGGTTAATTTGTTTTATTTTTAGGAAAGGTCATCTTGTTACTTGTGATGCAGGAAAAAACAATGAAAACTGAAAATAAGATTTAAACTACCACCCCGCAGCTGTCTGCCTTCGCCAACCGTCAAGTTGCAGTTTACGTCCATGTCTATCTAAACTCATATATACGTAGTGAATATGTAGAACGAATTGAATAAAAACAATACATTGTTTAACTGATTAATAAAGGATTATCATAGATCTATTGGGGACACATGTACTTGATTATTATGTAAAGATGGATTCTTATTGAATATAGGTACACAAAATGTGGTGCTTTTGCTTTCTCCTGACATTTTTACACTGAAACTCACTCACTCACTCACTCACTCACTCACTCACAGCATCACGATTAGCTAGGCACGTTTTTTGCAGTCACGTGATTCTGATGACAGGTAGTAAAAGGCAGAATGGACAAGACTCATACTGTGCTAGTTATTGTTTGTTGTGTCGCCCCAGTAAAAGTGTGTGAAATCTGGGATCGCCCAATTCATTCTTAAATTATGGCTAAAAACCTATTTTGAGGTCAAAAAATGTCACCTGTATTGCGTCCGACAAACTGTGAAATATGGTCACAATCTCCCTTTCTGTTCCTGAGTGAAGGGGTTGAATAATGGCCAAAAGGTGTTATTCCAGGACATTATGATGACCTATGACCATTTGTGTAAATAAAATTCATAATTTCATCATTGTACCACATTGACCATCAGTGTGAAATGGTGTCATAATTAATAACATATTTTTGAGTTATGGCCAAAGGGGTGTGAAGGTCCTTTTAAGGTCACAGTGACTTTGACCTGTGAGTCAAAACTGTCACCAATTCATTGTCCGACCAACTGTGAAAGGTGGTAATCCTGTTTTGTGACCTTTGACCTTCATCAATCAGTTCATCCTTGTGTTTGTGCCAAATTTGAAGAAATTCCCTCAAGGCTTTCCTGAAATATCGCATTCACGAGAATTGGATGGATGGACAGACGGACGGATGGATGGATGGATGGACGGATGGATGGATGGATGGACGATAGATGGACGGATGGATGGATGGATGGATGGATGGATGGACGATAGATGGACGGATGGATGGACGGACGGACGGATGGATGGATGGATGGACGATAGATGGACGGATGGATGGACAGACGGACGGATGGATGGATGGATGGACGGAGGGATGGATGGATGGACGATAGATGGATGGATGGATGGACGGATGGATGGATGGATGGACGATAGATGGACGGATGGATGGACGGACGGACGGACGCATGGATGGACGGACGGATAGATGGATGGATGGATGGACGGACGGACGCATGGATGAATGGACGGATGGACGGATGGATGGATGAATGGATGAACGGACTGTATTGTGGGGCTTGGTTTTCTGAAATTTCGGCTAAGTCCTGTGCCACACCTCACCTCCAGTAAGCACATGAAATAAAAAGACTATTCTTTTCCTGTTTCTCGCCCACAGTGCCCACAGTCATATATGTGGATCCCAGTCTTTCACTGAATATTCACGTTGAAAAACAACAGCATTGGTCGTTTTTTCAAACATTTATAACAACCCATGTTTATGTTTTCCTGACAGGTGATGTTGTCTGTGAGAAGACAAGGCAAATGTAGCGTGTTGTTGTTGCAAAACCTCTTATGAAGGAAGTGGGGGTGATGGATGGCTTTGATTTGGGAGACCGCTATTGACTTCTGTTAATCATGACTGTGATTACTTTCCCAAACCATAACCAAGTAGTAATGAAATCTAGACAATCCTTAAACTTTATTGATGGCAGATTATACATCAGTAATTTTGTATTTTTGTAATAATGAGGGCACTGACACAATGCATTTTGTTGATTATGCTGGATGACATGTTTTTTGTCATTTATCTTTTACCTCAAAACAAGTTTTTTTCCACTTCATAATGTACATCATCCACACATTATTATGACAGGATGTGCATTTAATGTATTACTGTTACATAATGGAGTTTGGTACATTTTTCCTCTACTCCCTGAAGTGCATCAGAGATGGTGCAGAGAGCTTTTATTGACATTAATAAATTATCCAGCATTACAAAACAATACATTGAGACATGATGAGACACCAGCAGAAATACTGTTTAGAAGGAAGGAGAAGCATAGTTATAGAGAAAAAAGAAGCAACATGTACATCCATAATATAGTACATGATTTATTAAAATTGTCTGTGTTATGAGACTTTTTCATACTTAGGAGCACTTAGAGTCTGTAGAGTCTACAATATGTGCAACTTAATTTTGTGCCACAGCAGCAGTTTTAGATCAGACAGCACTGCTGACCAGCGTGAAAATGTTGTTTCATTAAATTTCAATGACCTTCACCATGTTGTAACACAACCTGAATACAGGTTTATATTTCTCAGAGCAAACCAAACCTTTCAGGCTCTGACAAATAATGTTACCTTTTTTGTTGGTTTGTTTGGTTTTTTGACTGACTGTCGGATTTGTATTATTTCTGACTGTTTAAATCAATTTCATACAGTGAATTGGAAAGATACCCCAAATACAGCATTTTTCTTCTATCTTGTGCATTCATTTTATGAATATAACTGTAGAAAGTGTATAAGTGCGTGAGATAACTGTAACAATCATTAACTTTGTTTGAATGCTGTCTGTTCATGACTAAAACTGTTTTGCAACATAAAGTATCAAACTCTTTATAAAAATGCATATTATGTGAGGCATTAAATAATAAAATGTAATGTGTTTGTGATTCATCTTCCCTGAAAGGTTTTGACAAAAGTATGTCAGTACCACAAATATCCAGTAGAGGTCTCCCCTGCAAACAATAGGAAACTGTGATAGACCTCCACATCAGAGGTTTATTTTTGATAGAAAGTATTCTAAAAATGTACTTTATATTTTAGAGTTTTCTTTTTAAGAGAAGAGAATTTTTTTGGTATTTATTAGTCTATAATAAATTCCAAAAACCTAAGTATGTTAGAATGTGGAGAATTGGCTAACCAGGTGAAAAGGTCATTTCTCATTTCACTGTGATTTTGGTTGTGATCGTGGGACAGTTTGGTAGCTTCAAACGTGGTTTGGACAAAACACACGATGTCTTCAAGATGTGAAATCTGCTGCACTTGTTGAAGGAATACATCAGGAAAAACTCAAAGCATCTTACTGGGAACATTCAATAAAGACTGAATAGCCACACATGTCCAAGATGTAACTGGTCTAAAAACAAGCAAATTACAAACTGAGACACATTTTTCTCTTTTTGGTCAGTAGGTGTCAGTAAATAAAATGTATTAGTTAGAATTTTTGGTTTATAGTGTGCCTAAAGCTGTCTAATTGTAATTTGTTGAGGTCAGTTTCTATAATTAAAAAGAATAAAAATATTAAAAAGTTAGTCAGTCATCATTATAAAAGCAAACACTGTAAATCAAAATTTGAGCGATAATTAGAACTTAATATCTGATGATGATTTAAAGTAGGACTTAAATTAAAAGTCAAAGTATTCCATAATGTGGACATGTTTTTCAAAATTCTGACATTAATATTTTCACTTTGCAAGTAGTCTACTTAAAAAATCCAAATTATGATACTAAATAACAATTTTATGATAAAAAGAGTAATTACAAATCATAAGATACAAAAAGTGACTTTCTAAGTCACAATTTTCCCTCTGGTCAAGACTTTCTATCTCACAATTTTGACTTCATAATTCTTAACTGACCTCATAAATTTGACATGTTATTTTATAAGTTTTACCTGGTAAATCATATTGGTAAGTCAATTTAAACTTTTGTTATCCCTCGTTTTATCCTTTTCTGGCATACATGGGCTTCCATACTCATACTCTTACAGTAAAACTGAGACAAATCTGCAGTCCAGTCCCACATATTTGTGTGAAACCAGCCCTGCAGAGGATGTCCTTGTAACACACACTCCTGTCTTTTCCCTTTTTTTTTTCTCTCGAACATCCTTATTGAGAGAGTGCAAGGAAGCAGAGAGAGCAGATCCCCTGAGAGACGGAAGGGGAGAAAATTACAGTCTTTGAAATGTAGGCTACAGGCATCTATAGCCCACCAGAAACAACAATAAGTTCACCTTTCCTGTGATGGTACGGGATGATTGTGGGAATGGACACACGTGATTAAATCCGGTCAAGCGCGGTGGTTTGTCGGTAGGGAGAGTCAAGGAGGGAGATCGTGATGTTTCTGTCAGGTAAGATTGTGTTAGCTGGATTTAAAACTCAATCCCAATCTGATTTAAGGAGCTTTGACGGAAACAAACTGACAAAGTGTTTGGGCAGCGCTTTGTGTTTTTGTTTACAATGGCGTCGACGTACAGCGCCTGGTTAATGAGGTCAGTTAAAAAACACATTAGCGCCTAGATTATGGTTTCATTATTTACGCCTGTAGAGGATATCAATATATAGTTGCTGTAGAAGCCAACAGGTGGAGAGCTGAGGCAGCCTGCAGCGATCACTTGTGGATTCAATGAGACAAATGTGATCATAGTGAGCTGATTGGCTGTAGCCTAATGGTAAAATGAATAATTTCTATTGAACAGCAGCATATAAACACGTGAGAGGAAAAAAAGAAACAGCTGCTAGTTTGAGAAAAATCTCTTTATTTCTTTAAACAGACCCTAAATCAATTTTTAAAATAAAATGTGATATAAACATCTTCATTTTGTAGTTTTGGTTTATTCTATGTAACATCAGCGCTGGTTGCCTGGTAACATTGAAGTCCTGGCATCTGGCTTTTTTTGCCATTAAATTTAATTCCAGCATAACTCCCCCTGAAGCCACAAATTGTCTTTTTTTTTACATTTCTTGTTTATGGGAGGAACATATATGATACATTATGTTTATTAGTGAGTTTCGGAGCTTGTCGATGTATTTGTTTGGACAGAGCCAGGTTAGCTGTTTCCCCCACTACCAGTCTTCATGCTAAGCTAAGCTTATCCCCTCCTGGCTCCAGGTCCACCTAACTTGCATGTAAAAAAGTGAATACTGTAAAACTTCAATTAATAGCCCCGGGCTTTTATTTGCTTCGATCACTGAACTCACCCTGCCAATATCTGAGACATGCGTCTATATGGGACAGGCCTTTAATTCATTTCGCACAAAAATTTTGCTCAGCAAAGGCTACTATTAAATTGTTTATTTCAAGCAGAATATTCCAAAAATTAGGCTTTTTTCATCTCTTTTGTTTACCATACCGGTAATAAATTAAATGAATGATTGAATTGTAGTGAATCTAACCGATCTTATGACGTGTAGCATGTCCATATTGACAAAAGTTTTGACATATATATTTATATCCATTGCTCAAGCAGGGAACACGGTGGGCTTTAAAAGGTTTTATACATCCAGGGAACTAGTGTTCTGCCACCATTTATTGATTATTTTAGTAATCGAGTATTTTACAGATTATTCTATCGATTCATTGAGTAATATGGTAAGAAATACTTTTGTGTAACTCGGATCACTGTACAACCCAAACTCAAGGACTAACCAGTTGGAGAACAATAACAAGAAACACACAATTATACATTTAGAAGTAGGAATTCATCTCATGTAGCAATGTTACCTTGTTTGGAGTCTGCTCTGTGGACTCGATGTGTAGACTGGATGGTTACTGCTCAGATGCTGAAGCATTGCCGTCGTGCCGTTGTGGTACACTAGATCCATTGTACAGTAGACACACTGTACAGAGTAGGACAGTGTGTGATCTTTTTTATTTTTATTTTTTTAAGTAATCCCATACATTAGACACTCTCTTCCCCCATTTTGCTATTCACACCATTAAATCACATCATCTGCATTTTTCCTCAGCATAAGAGCATTGTGTGACAGTAATAATCATCTGTCCAAAACACTGCACTGTATATAGTTATATGGATTAAACAAAGATGCTTTTTAGTAATCGAGTTACTCGAGTTTCTCAACGAATTGTTCAGCCCTACGGAGACAATAAAAACCACACCAGGCGTCTTATTGAGACCTGCATTTGTTTGACAAAATGTGTAGCCACACCAGGCCAGTAAAATGGACAGGCGTCTAATTGGGACTAGGCTTTTAACTGAAGTTTTACGGTATTCGTTTTCCCAAAATGTCAAACTTCCTTTTCTTTGAATATGGAGCTAGAGCCAGGAGGCGATGGGCCTATCGGTTCGCATAAAGACTCGAAGGAGGGGGAAACAGCTAGGCTGAGACCAGATGACAGGTAACCAGCAGAGACTCCAGGAAGTAAATGGTCCTGGCCAAGATAGAGTCTGTCATAGTCTGGTTTCTTATCAGCTTGTCCGTGTGCGCATGTGCCTGATAAAATCTGGGTCAGACAAAGAGAGTATTATTGCCATAACAGCAGGGTGGCAGAATCAAGGTAGAGATCGGTACATGTAGTGATGCATAATTGTATATCAAATAAATCCATCTGAAGTAAGACTTAAATGGAAACTGACACAAAGTAGCCTCTAAAAGTCTAAAGAATCCACCACTTAACATTTGAGTATTTGTTTAATTCAGACACATAAGTACTGTAAGGACTAGAAAGCAGTTTATTATATAACAACCACAGTTATATAATAATTAAAAGTATAGCTTCTAAATAAGGTAAATAATAAAATAAATAAGGGTCTCAGGCAGGAGAGAAATGTGATTACTGCCTTGTTGTATGTTGACAGTAAACGTACAACACATCTACACATTTCTACCTTAACCTAACTTTTCTGTTGAGTTGGTTTCTTTCACGCGCATGCTGGCCATATGACTTCACTGTGCCTGGCTGTTGGGCTATATAAATTTAATTGATTTGACATGATTTGACTTCTGTAAGTCAGTGAAGCACTATAAAGACACTGCTGCAGGCTTTGCTGGCTGCACCATCATCATTACAGGCTACATGCTAGGTTTAGAGGGCTTTGTAAATACCACAGGTAATGACAAGAATGTAGACAACTTCACTGCTTGGTGTCAGTTCTCCTTATTAGTGTTTTCAGTGTCTGTCTAAAACAACACAGCTCTTCATTTTTCAGTCCATTTTCAGTATTTGGCACTTGTCAGCTGACAGTGTACAACTTGTGTCATCCACCTGTAGGAGGCGTTGAAACCATATAGGCGAAATGTGAAATGTGCCCATGAGAAAATTCAGCTGGCTGTTCTGACTTATTATGTTTCCAATTAGCTCTCTGAATCATACTGTCACAAGGCTATCGTGCTGCAAATGATAGGCGCAGCAGTGAGTTTCTTTCTGCTCAATTCCTTCAAGTGTTAAACAGTTGTACTCTGACAGATTCAGCTTAGTGTATATTATGTTTGATTAGTCATTGACTTTAAATGCAGAACAGTGTGCACCATCATCACCGTGATAACTTTGTCACAGAAGCCTCTGACACTCCTCGTTTGGATAGATTTTATCCAACCACCTTGTATGGACTTCTTATTTTCTTTTCCTTCTTTCCTAGTTAAATTCATTTAATTAATTTACAGTATAAAACTGTCAGGAACTCCGAATGAGCTGAGTGGTGTGGGTGCTGCCTGGGTTTTATCACATCTTCTCAATTATAACCACATGGTCCATGTACACTCGGTCACAGGTGACAGGGCTCAGTGTTGGGTGTGGGTGTTCAATGTGTGCACAATGTATAAGTGACTTATTAATTAAATACACTTAAAAGAGGTAGCATGAAGTCTAAAACTGACTGAATTTTGAATGTGCCGTTGATTAACACATTGTGTATTACCTAAAAATTTTACACAATGAGAAAATTGCATACAGTTACTCACAGCTGTTTACACAGTGGGGAAATATCAGTTGCCTAGTTTAATTTCCATTTAATACAGAATGGTACAATGGGGTTAATGTGGCTTAGTTAGCCTTTCATCAGTCTACTTTGTAAGAAGGAAAATTGCGAGAAGTTTAGAAAATATATATGTACAACTTCATATTAAGGCAAATAACAAGGATTTCATGTTCTGCGCTTTGATCCCCGGGCACTTTGAGTGGTTGGAAGACTAGAAAGGCGCTACACAACTACAGTCCATTTACCGTTTATATTTTATAATCACTACAGTGGGCAAAAAAAACTTACAGCAAAAAACTATTAATTGAAAATAAATGCAAATAAACAAAATAAATTATGTCTTAACTAGATGGTAAGATATAATTTATTATTGAATAATCATCATAATTTGTCTAAGAAATGGTGAAAACAACTTTTCAAAATCATAGATGATGTTTTGTAATTGCTTGATATTCAGTTTACAATAATAGGAAACAGGGAAAAGCAGTACATCCTTACATTTCAGAAACTTCTGAAACTACAGAATTTAATTATAATATAATAATAACATAAATAATTTTCATAAAACAAAACTTCAATAGCTTGGTGTGGCTTTTATGAGACTAAATCACCTAAAACTAAAGCTTGAGGTGTAGTATTGCCCTGCGACTGAACCTTGACCCCAGGTAACGCCTCCCACCTATCCGCTGTAAAATTGCTCACAGCCACAAGAGTCCTCCCTCTCTCCTCTCTCTCTCTGCTCTCCTGTACATGTCTTGACATGCCGAGAAACACCAAGGGAGGGAGGAGACAAAAAAACAAGAAAAACTGGAGCCCATGAGAGACAGAGACAGAGAGAGAAGGAGGTGTGAGGTATGAACAGAGGGTTGTAAAGAGCTGGGGGCATGAGAAAGGAAAAGGATATCTCATGCTGAAGCTTTGGGATCGATGATTGTAGCGGGACAGAAACTGAGATGAGGCAAGACTGTAGCTGTAATTGGAAGAAGGGAGGACGACTCAGTCAGGGGAATGGTGAGATACTGTGTCATTATATCTGTGAAAAACATGCATGTCAGTTTCTCTCTTGACTCATTAATTTTCCCTCTTATTGATTTCTGACTGAACAGCTCCATGATCTCCAGTTTAGACATTATGAATGACGGTAACCATGAATCCTCCTCTTGGCGTAGGTGTTTCATATCGTTCCGGAAGAAGAATGAGGAAAAAAACGAATGAAGATAAAGAAGAGGTAAACAATTAGCTGACATAACCTTTAACTGACTCCTCTTCTTGTCAGCCTTACACCACAAGACCTGCAGGGAAAGGACGGCCACTGATAATTATCACCTGATGCAACACTTTCAGGAACTGGCAGTGTGAGGAAATACTCAGGCATTGCCCAGAGCCGTCAGGGAACCAGAGGTGTCACCAGCTTCAGCTCAGCCTAAAAGTCACAGTAAAATTACTGGAGGAGCATGGGATGTAGAGTCCAGAGCTGTGAGTTGTCCCCTGGATGTCAGACCACCAGGAACAAATGAGTAGCAGTGGATTTGGCAGCAGCTCCAGCTTGCTCCAGGGTCGGCGTTTCTACTGCCGGGAATGGGCCCTGGACAAGTTGCGGCGCTACCTGGACACCCGCACAGTGCCGGGACAGCCCCCAGGGCTGCTGGTGACTGGGGGCCCTGGCGCCGGGAAAACTGCCCTGTGCACTGAGGTGGTGTGGCCCACCTCAAAGACAGGGCTGGCAGTCGGGCTGGCACCGCGTTGCCTGGCATCCCACTTCTGCCAAAGGGAGGACCAGAGAAGTACTGAGGTGTGGAGGTTTGTCCTGGGCCTGGTGGAGCAGCTGAGGGCCTCACCTCTCCTCTCTCCTGGGTATGAAAAGATCCTTAACAGCCTGTCTGTATCCTCTGCTTTGGAGCCTGTCACCTGTCAAAGAAACCCTGATGACACCTTCAAGAGGTTTGTGTCACATTTATTCCTATTTTTACTTTTAAAATTCTCAAAGTGTCATTGGATGGATGGATGGACAGATAGAATAGATAGATAGATAGATAGATAGATAGATAGATATAGAGGGTTGCGCTTAGTTGAAGCAGATTTGAGGGAGATTTCAAGGTTGTCAAATGAGAGCATGAAACCCATCCAGGCGCTCGGCGTGTGTGTGCATGTTCAGAAGCGTGGCTCATTCCCAACTCAACACAGCAAAATCTATGTGGTATCACATTCTGTAAATGGTGGTATTGTTCATGAAATTAAGAGCAGCTGAACAAAGTTACATCCAACATGTGTCAGCAGGCCAACAAATGGGTTATCAGATTCAGTCAGAATTGTAAACCTGCTCCACAGGTTACTTTTTGTTTTTTTGTGTCAGTTACAACATTGTGGTAACCAAAGACGTTCGGGTTGTAGGTGTTTTAGACATGATAATGCTGGTCATAAGAATGTAATCTGGTCTTTTGTGAACCAGACAAGCATCGATTTGAGATCATAGATACACTAAACAAAATTATAAACGCAACACTTGTTTTTGCCATCATTCATCATGAGCGGAACTCAAAGATCTAAGACTTTCTCTATGTACACAAAAGGCCTATTTCTCTCAAATATTGTTCACAGATCTGTCAAAATCTGTGTTAGTGAGCACTTCTCCTTTGCTGAGATAATCTATCCAATCCATCCACCTGATTAGCTCTATGCGAAGGAGATGTGTTGCACTGCGTGAGGCAAATGGCGATGACACCAGATACCGACTGGTTTTCACCCCATTTATTTGATTATTATAACCTACAATTCCAACTAGAGCTGGATGATATATTTGAAATCAGTATCACAATAAGAATATTTTTCTACCATCAGTCCAATTGGCTAATATGACCTATAGTATACCATGAGACTAAATATATTTGTCATTAGGCCAGTGTGAGCAATGTTGCAAATCAATGATCAGGGCGGATGTATGACAATACAGTAGTCTTGCACAAAAATCTCAGACTTCTGTCAGGTTATTTTACCCATTAACAGTTCATAATTTTTTTTACTTTTTGTTTTTTCAGAAAATGTACCATATTATATATAGGGATATCACAATATGTGATAGATATCCAAGGAAGGTTAAAATCATGGGCAACTGAACTTGGTTGATACTAGAACACGTTTCGTCCCTCATGCAAGAGACTTCTTCAGTTCTGACTGACTGGTAGGGAAACCTTATCCTTCAGATATATTTGTATTGGTCATCTTGGCTAGACTCCACAGAGGTTAAATAGCGGAGTTTCCCCACCGGTCAATCAGAACTGAAGAATTGTCTTGGATGAGGGACGAAACATCTTCTGATATCTTCAACCAAGTCCACTTCCCCTTGATTTCAACCTTCCTTGAAAAACTATAACCTGCATGACTGAGATCCATAAATGCAAACGCAGTCAATTGATGCTCAATACAAAGAAACATGTTGTATTGTTTGGTTGTTGTACATGTGCTATGCTTTTGCATGACGTGTGCAAAAACAACAAAAAAGAAAAACTGATTTTGTTAGTAAAATGATAAATTATGTTTTTGTGATATAATTCCACTGGAAGTTGATAAACCATTATGTTGATTTATCAGCCCAAGCTGCAGCGTCAGCAACACTGTCATTAAACATCCACACACATAAAGCTCTCCACTATGCCTAGGAAAATGGGCGACTGTCAAACATGACATCAGCTCCTGCTCATGTTGAGGGGAAAAGGATCCAAGAAAGCTTTAGGCTTCTTTCTAAATAGAGGTGATTCTCTGCAGGTGTTTAGACTGTCAACAGGAAAAAAGCGTTTTAAAGCCTGTAAACGCAGAACCATGTGGCCATCACTAAATCAAAGAGAGGCCCGGACAGTCACAGGAAAATGACGGCAGCAGCTATTCTTCCTCATCTTATATTTATTTCTCCTTTCATAATGCAGCCCATTCACAGCACTCACAATGGGCCTCCAGTGTGAATGAATGCTACAGTGTTATTTACAACATGACATCCTTTCAGAGAGGGGGAAAAAAGAACAAAGAAGTGAAAAATGCCTTCAGTACCCCAGTGACCATCTCAGCACCAGTCAGCGAGGTCACCCTCCTCTCCAGGACTTTTTTTCACTCTCTGCCGGTGTGTTTACTTTGCGATGAGTCTGAGCCCTTCTACCCTCCTCCTGTGTTTGCTTACCTCTGGTGTGAAGTACCAAGCTGGATTCCACATTCCCCTCAGACTGACTCACAGCCAGTTGCTGTTTGTGTTTGTAGCTCTTGTGAGAGAAAGTGGCTGCGGGCGAAACACTGCCATGTTAGAACAGCCGTTGACAAACCCATGAAACATGGGCTTGAATTGGCAGTGAAAGGGCATACATGGCATGTATGCCTTGAATCAGCTGCTCGGCAAGCCATTAACTCTTTGGTGAACTTTTATGTGGTGCTGCTCCCTATGCCTGAAACCATCAACACTCAGATTTAGAGTTCACAAAGTTGGTCTTGGTGCAGCTGCAGAAAAAACTGGATGTTATATTGTTTGATATTGTTAGGTTGGTTTCACACCTGCAGTTCGGTTCACTTTGCCTGGGGAAAAAAATATCCAATGTGCTTTATAGTTCTGGTCCAGTTCATGTTCTCACCTGCTTATTAAAAACATACCAAGAGGAGTAAACATATCATCATATGAGTCATATGAACTTACATGTCCTTACCACTCAGTCTTCTCTGATGCCAGAGCTCACGAGAACATCACTGATTACAAGCATTATTAGTGGAAACTGTTACTGAAAAATGAATTATAAATAATGATGAAAAGGTAAACAGGATGAAACAGCGTTGTGTGTTGTAATGCTATTGATGGGATATTTATATATACAAATATTATATATTCAAATTTAGATTTCTTATAGAAATAGTTTGCTTGACAGTTCAAAATCAGCAGATGGATAAAATAGCAGCTTAGCTTTTGAATTCAGTCCAACATCTCCTTACTATTATCTTGTAATCCTGTGGTTGGCCCACTTTGCCATAAACTGTTGTAGTTATGTTCAATTGTGAGCTGATGATGTTAATTTTCTTTTAACCAGAAGTCTGTAGCTCATTGTTATGGCCACCTATCTTGGCCAGGACACTTTTGTCTAAATAAGGCTGTCCTGGTCAAGTAAAGTTTAAATAAATTATATGAAATGAATGAATGAGGACATTTACACCAGTTAACAGTGTAGTGTTAGTCGAAAGGACTTTTACTGCCAGGTCGTTCATGACTGTAAAAAATTAAGAGCTGCAAATGTAAAGTTTTCTAACTGATCTTTGAAGGCACCACAATGTTATATGTATGTATAATGTATAATGTTATACCAAACATTTCATTACAAGTAAACTCACCATGTTTTAGTTACATTAAAATGCGTGCAGTAACAGGTAGCATGAACAGAAGAATGAAATAAATGAGATGCAAGAAAAGGCAACAGTAACAAGAGAAAAAATAATACATCCAAACATGGAATAACAAAAAAGACCACAAACCTAAACTACAGACATGTACAGACACATACAGACACAGAGAGACAGTATAGTACAATATCTAATAGTGAAGTAAATTTTTTCAGTTTGGTTTTCAGCATGGTCATCAGACTGCTTGTGCCAGAGAACAGGACCAAAGTAAACAAAAGTACCCAATCTTGAGCTTATTGTAGGTTAAGTTAGAAATCCACCACCTGATGGAGATCTGACTGAATTTTAGTCTATGAGATGGTCAGAAGGACAGTGAAGTCGTTTAAGTACTGGAGTAATTCATTAGGCTCTGAGGGAACCTCCTAATTATTGTAAGTTTGATTGTCGCATGCTCCTCTCTACAAGTCCAATTAAAGACCACCCACAGACCTGGTGTCCAGGGCTGTGTGAGTCAAATGGAGCGGAAATCTTCAAGCAGCAATAAATGGTTCATTACACTTACTCCTCCGCAGTACTGATTGTGTGCCCAGTGAGGGAGTGTCGCTTTAATCAGATGACTAAACCACACAGAGGTATGATAAACCTGTTATAACCCAGATGTAGAGGTCATCCAGGGTAGGGTTTATATCTGCTTAACTGTAGGATGTGTTCAGTGGTATCAACCAAGGCTGCTGTGTAAGGTAATGTGTTATGGTAATGAGACATTTCATGCACATTACAGGCTTGGTCTGTAAATATCTTCCGAAGAAGATACTAGATTAATGTGAACCTGAAGAATTACTACTGATCATTAAATTTCTCCTGTATTGTCTTGCCTTGCGTTCCTCATAAATGAGGTTTAGTAATGAAACAAGCAATCAATCAAAATCAATTTAATAAACAACACTTTAAATCCATTATGTACCATTAACCTCCAGGGGGAGAAGAGCAGATGTGTTGTTTCTCACAGCATGTTTCAGGATGTGGGTGGCTAATCAACTCCACTGAATAGTTTCCTGGTGTAAACCCTGAACTACATGTTGGCACCAATATACAATGCAGCGCCTCCTAATAATTGGCACTAGTTAAATTGTCAATTGTGTGGGGACAATTTATTAACTTGTGGACAGTTTAAAGGAAGAGCTAAAAGTTAATTTGCATGTTTCAGAACATAGTACTACGATTTCGTGATAGTGGCTCAAACAGAGCAGGTTTGTTGGATGCATCATTCACCAAAGTCTAATCATTAAAGATGACTGATTTCATACTCCACAAGCACAAATCTTAATCCTGAGGCGGATATTTTGTGGTTGACCTCAACAAGTTCAGTTGTTGACCCTGCCACTTTTAGTTACTGTTTCAACTAAACAGAATTCTGTTTGGTTAATTCACCAAACTTCTTAATTAGCCAGAGTAAAATCCAGGCATTTCTGGCATAATGGCTCTTTTCATAGACTGTATGACCTCTTCCCATTTTTAAACACTGCTGTAGCAGCATATTCTGATTTTACGAGATTGAAAATGTTACTTGCTTTTTTATATTATTAGGCAACAGAAAAACAAAAAGCCTCGTACTGTTGATCATTTTATACTGTTGATCATTTTGAAGCTGAAAAGATGCCGATTTTCAAAGAATAAAGTTGTTTTTTTTTTAGGTTTTTCAGGTTCAAAGAAAACCTGTTTGGTGACTGGACCGTCTGGTCATTCTTAAACATAGACATTAACACTAATAACAGCACAAACACAAACACACCCTGTGGTTGTTGCAGGATAATTGACTTGAGTTCAGCCTCCGTGTGACCCATTCAAACCACACGGCTGTCACAGGTTAATCACTGTTTGTCACCTATAAGTGTTATTCTTTACAAATCCCTGATAAGTAGAACACAGAATTAAACAAGACAGGTATAAAGAATTTCAATACAGTATTTCTGATTCTGATGTACTGTTAATGTTAATATTAGCTAGTTAGCACAAAGTACAACTGATGGGAATATTTTTTGCATGCATTTGGTTGTAAGGGTATTGGGACAAATTTCGACCTCTTGGTGATGCTAGAGGAAAAGTCACGGGATCACCAAAGTCCCCTGGGGCTCATGAATGGGAGTCCAGTAGTTGTTGGGCTAAAGTGTTTTCATGTCCAAAACCATACCGCTACCATGGCAAAAAAATGTAACAGAAAATAATATCAACTATATAGTAAGTCAGTAATTTAATAATAACTGATTTACAGCCCTTTCCTGACCGAGGTTAAACACAGGTCTGCAGTGCTTGGCTTTGTTAGGTCAGGGTGAACATAGGTTTCTATAATAACTAGGATTACTATGAAGTTACCATGACATTATTACATGCCTCAGAAAACAGGGTTGTTTTTTGTCTTATGCTCAGACATATTTTCCTTCCCTCACTCAACTTTCAACAGCACTTTCATTATTAACTTTTCATGCTCCAACACCTCTAAACCTCATGTTGACTTTTTCATGCAGATAAACCAGTCTCAGGTCTTAAGTCTGCATTCAGAAATAAGAGCCTGGAGGTATAGCTGGGGTCCAAAACAACTTTGCTGTCTGTACTCCCACGCTGGGTTCAGGTCCTCGTTCAGGACATTTGTTGCTTTATTCTATCTGATGCCTAATATACAAACGTTTTTTATGTTGTCTTTTAAACCTATAGTTTTTACCTATAGTTTGTTTTAAGGTTTATAAGCCACTTTAGGTTGCATCTCTGCATGAAGGAATTATGCTGAAAATATTATTACTATTATTATCGTTGCTATTATGGTCAGGAGTAAACGGTTTTTACAGTAGTGTAGGTAAGAAGAAACATACATTAGCATCAAAGCTCCGTCATGTTACAGTAAGAAGATTTAGGGATCAGGAAATGAATATAGTCGGTGGAAGGACCTCAGGAGAGAAGGAGAGATGTACAAGTATGCTTGGGTTGGTTAGAAGTGTGCGTGTGTGTAAGATAGTGTGCACCCAGGGTGGAGCGGGACATTTCAGAAGTTCCTTTAACCTGAGTCAGTATCAGATCAAAGCCGGGTGTGGGTGCTGACTGTGCTCTTTAAAGGACAGTTGACTTACTGTAGCATTGTTTTGCTGTTTTACATCCTTTTCAGTGTTCAATCACAGTAGAATATACAATATTTGCCATTATTGTTCCTGTTTGATTGGATTAGAGAGCCATGATCATCACGTCACATCCGGGTTAGCCTCTGTTCCACTAGCTTCTCTAACAGCATTTCTTTCATCAGTCTGTCTAAAAACACGAACAGTCATGCACTACAGCAGTTGCTATAAGGGAATTAAAACCTTTTGTGATTTTAACAAAGTTAAACAACGTTCAGCTCAATATTACTTATGAAATTCCTTCCGGGTAAACATATCAAGTTGTTTTTTTATACTGTTTTGAGCTTACTTTGTGTCTAAAAGCCTGGGGGCTACAATTAGATTCTTTCTAATGTAGGTGAAATGGAAAACAAAATGCAAAACCTCAACAAACCATTTCTGTGCTTGAAGTGGAATTGCCTGAAGTCATGGCATTTATTTCATTCAGTGTCAGTGAATTTATATGCAAAAGAGTTTGACCTGCTGTGTTTATCTGTGATGTAATTGCACTGCAGTCAATAAAAAAGAAAATGTTCTCACTTTCTCACTTTGAACTCCCTTATCTTCCCACAACTCCTGCATTTTTTACAAGGCTGTCTAAATTTTCATATTTTCCTTTGTGTGTCTGTCTTTCTCACATTCTCTTAGAGCTGTGTTGAGACCCCTGTTAGATGTTCCGCCTCCTGCCCAGACTCTGATGGTGTTGGTGGACTCCCTGGACGTGGGATATGAGGCAGGCAAAGGAGGTGGGAAGAGTGGCTCTATTGCAGAGCTCCTGGCCGCTAATCAACACCTCCTGCCTGGCTGGCTGCTGCTGGTTTGCTCCGTCCGACGCCACAGCAAGGCTGTGTGCAAGATGTTCTCAGGTATGAAGAAAGAAGAAATCATCTTAAAGGGTGATGTATTGTAGTCTGTGTGGGGCTGCTACCTTAGACATGTGTGCAGTTGGTATTGAGCAGCCATGATTGGGCAGTGAATGCACTGTTTGTGTGACTGGTAAACATTATGATTTAAAATCATTGTTTTTATATCTAACATTTTAACACTGATCAAATCACTTTTAATGACCACTGATTGACATTCAATAAATACACAACATTTCAAAATTACTCCCAAGGCATATAGTAGATGAGAAATTAGTTTTTGAGATGAAAATTACTTGCAAAATCTGGGTTTTAAGTAATCTAGCAGCCAGTTGTCAGCCATCCCATTCTGAGGGGAAAATAATACTAGATGTGCCTGTGCAACAACAAAACAAAACAAAACAAAACAGAACAAGAAAATACATGTAACGATAAAGAAGTGAATGGACAGGTCAGGCAAGACGGGGAGAGGAAAGAGGAGGCAAAATTAAAATGAGATCACATCAGCAGATCCCAGTGATTTGGGCCATCTGTCTTGTTTCCTATTTTCAGTGTTTCCCACATATAGACTTTACTTGGACAGACCGAACAGGTATATTAATGAACACCAAAGTATATATGGCAACCCATTTAGCATTTTGCAGAGAGAGATTTTATCACGTTACAAGACGCGGACACGGTGGTTAACACAGACCAGGTAACACACCAGTGCGGATGTCATTCAGTACTTGTTACATTTATTCATTTAGCTGATGCTTTTATCCAAAGCGACTTACAATTGCTATACATGTCAGAGGTTGCACGCCTCTGGAGCAACTAGGAGTTAAGTGTCTTGCTCAGGGAAACATTGGTGGATGGGTCACAGTGGGGGATTGAACCCAGGTCTCTCACACCAAAGGCATGTGTCTTATCCATTGCTCCATCACCATCGTTTTAAATGAATCGATAGGATACGCCATTAACAGGCCACATGCGGCGCTCCTGCTTGTGTAAAAACAGAATCGGAATAATGGCCGACTTTAGAGACACATACGGGAAAAGAGAAAGAGACAGAAAGAGGCATATGTGGTTTGCAGTAAGAGACAAGAGGTGTGTGTGCATTTGGGTGCGTGTGGGGGGAAAAGAGAACTGAAGGGAAAGGGAGCAGATTCAAGAAGTGAATAAACACTAAAATAAGGTGGAATATGTAGCAGAATTAAAATGGTGAAGTAAGAAATTACCCACAGGGAATAGAATTTATTATTTAATAGCAAGTTGATGATCAGTGGGAGACACAAAGAAAAGAACCAAAATCACATAATGTATGACTGATGAGTGAAAATATGCAGAACTATATTAGGGTTAAAAACCTGCCCTATCTCTCTCTGTGTTGTAGGTTTTCGTAAACTCTGTCTGGATGATCTGCGGAAGCCCCCACCTGTTCGTGACGTGCAGCAGTACATCCTCTGCCGGCTGGATGAAGAAGTGGAACTTCGCCGTCAGCTCACCCCTGATACTGCTGACATGCTGAATCTGCTGCACATAAAGAGCGGCGGATGCTTTCTGTTCCTTGAACGTGTGCTGGATGGTGTGGCAGGTGCACTGGTGGGTCTCCGCGAGATTCGGGACATCCCTGGGACTCTCAATGGCCTCTATCTGTGGTTGTGCCAGAGACTGTTCCCCCGGGGGCTCTTTGTCTATGTCAGGCCTCTCCTCAATGTCCTCTTGGTTGCCCCAAGGCCCCTCACGCCCCAGCAGCTGTTCACAGCAGTATGGTCACATGATACCTTGCTCAGCCTCCAGGACTTCCAAAACAAGCTCCGAACCCTCTCTCCTCTCTTGATTGATGGCCCTGAGGGCACCAAACTACTCTTTCATGCCAGCTTTGCTGAGTGGCTGACAGATGTTAAGTATTGCACACAGAAGTACCTGTGTAGCAGAACAGAGGGTCACGGTATGCTTGCAATGGCACTGACTTTGCAGGGACCCCACCTGGATATTGAGGATACTTGCCAGCTAGCCACACATTTAGTTTGCTCAGGTCACCATAAAGATAACCTCCCATTATTGGCACTATGGATGCTGTGGGCAGGGGTGCCTGCACTTACTCCTGGCAGCAGTAGTGCCCTCACCACATCCTTAACCCAGCCTCCTGTTCAAGTCAGTCAAGAAGTTCTTCAGCTGTTAATGGGGAGTGGGCTTGTTCCTGCAGACTTTTTTTCAGATGCAGGCCCAAGTGCTGGATTACATTGTATAGGTGATGAGGGAACTACTGTACAACAGGCATTTGAATCGGAGGGGTCTGGGAAGAAGCTGCTAGACAGCGGGGTGTCTGTAAGTCAGCCTGGTTCTACAGATGGAAAGACTTTGCTTGCCAGTGCAGCCCACGAGGGTTCTGCAAATGTAGCCGAACTTCTCTTAACACAAGGTTATGATCCACTGCAAATTGATCATCAGGGTCAAACACCACTGACTTTGGCTTCCAGGCAGGGTTATGTGAAAGTGTTGTCTGTGCTCCTGGAATGGGCAAAGAACCAGGAGCCAGAAATTGCAACACGGATGATGGAGCATGTCGACAGTGAAGGTTGGACAGCACTGCGCTCTGCAGCTTGGGGAGGACACAGTGAGGCTGTCCGGCTTCTGCTTGATGCAGGAGCAGTTGTGGATGGATGCGACAGTGAGGGCCGGACTGCTCTCCGAGCTGCTGCATGGGGGGGTCATGAGGAAATTGTTCTGACCCTGCTGGACTATGGGGCACAGGTTGACAAAGCTGACAGCAACGGCCGCACCCCGCTTATTGCTGCTGCCTATATGGGACATCATGAAGCTGTAGAGATATTGCTGGACCACAATGCTGAAGTTGACTTAGCTGATGGAGATGGCCGCACTGCTCTGTCAGTCGCTGCCCTCTGTGTCCCTACAGCAGCAGGGCTGAAAGGTTATGGTGCGGTAGTGAGTCTGTTACTGGAGCGTGGAGCAGATCCAGGACACAGAGACCATGATGGAATGACACCATTGCTTCTTGCAGCCTATGAGGGCCATGATGACGTAGTTGAGCTTCTGTTAGAAGCAGGTGCTGATGTAGATGAGACTGCTGGCCCTGATGGCAATGTTCCTGCTGCAGCCGCTGTTACTCCCCTGCTGGCAGCTGCAGCAATGGGCCACATGAAAACAGTGTCACGGCTGCTTTTCTGGGGAGCAGCTGTGGATGCCATTGATTGTGAAGGCAGGACGGCACTCTGCCTGGCAGCAGCAAGAGGGAGTGTTGAGGTTGTCCGTGCCCTGCTGGATAGAGGCCTGGACGAGAACCATAAGGATGACCTTGGCTGGACTCCACTGCACGCTGCTGCCTGTGAAGGTCATCGGGCTGTGTGTGCTGCTTTGACAGAGCAAGGCAGCATGGCACGTGTCGGAGATATGGACATTGAAGGACGCACCCCTCTTATACTGGCTGCCCAGGAAGGTCACTGGAGCACTGTAAGGCTGTTGTTGGACAGACGTTCCCCCATCGACCACAGGGCGTATGATGGACATTCTGCCTTGAGTGCCGCCCTCCTGGGGAGCCATGCTGAAGTCGCAGAGCTGCTTATGAGGCGAGGGGCTGATACTGATGTCCGGGATGCAGAAGGAAGGCCTCTACTCTACCTCCTGGTGTTAGAGAGTCGCCTTGACATGGCTACTCTCCTCATACAGAAAGGGGGGGTGCCTCTGGAGTCCCGAGACTCTGAGGGCCGCACAGCACTTCATGTGGCTTCCTGGCAGGGATGTGTGGAGATGGTAGACCTACTTTTAAAGCATGGGGCAAACCCCAATGCACAGGACACAGAGGGGAGACCACCATTGCATTCAGTGGCTTGGACGGGACATGCCAAAGTAGGACATTGTCTCCTAGAAGCCAGTGGTGTCAATATAGACCTTGCTTGCCACCAAGGGGCAACAGCTTTGAGCATCACTGCCCAGGAGGGACATTCTGACATTGTTTCAATGCTTCTAGAAAGAGGTGCAAATCCCAATCATGTAGATAGATATGGCCGTAGTCCAGTCAAAGTGGCTGGGAAACACGGGCACTTTAACATTGTCAGGCTCTTAGAGAGCTACGGAGCCAAGCCATATGTAGGCCTGTTGTCTAGCACCGGTACTTTTTCCCCTGCAAAACCCAACAGGATCCCCTCCTCAGGCATCTCAGTGAGTAATGGAGGTGACATAACAGCCGCTACCTCCTCCTCTTCAGTATCTTCTCCCGGCTCCACTGCAGAACGATTCCACTCCATGCAAAGCTCCCAAAACTCATCTACCTGCCACTCCCTGGCGACAGTGCAGACAGTGCCAGCTGACAGCCTCAGCTTTATTCAGCAGATCCAACAGCACTCACTACCCCGTAGTCGTAGCCGTCACTCCACCCTCCCCCCACCAGGGAGCTCAGGCATGGGCAGCCACCATGGAAGCAGCCAGAGGCATCCCAAAGGCATCCCTCCTCCCACTGTTTGCACTGTCACTGCCATGGTGCACGACTGTGAACTGTCTCAGAATGACCTGTCGTCTGGGCTTGAATATCATGACAAAATGAACAAACAAAACTCAAACTTAATAAAAGCAGACAGAATTACTTATGCTGGTGGCAAATGGCATACAGTCATGGCTTCCCTTGGGATAATGCCTGGCCAAGACAGCCCTGCAGTAGGTCCTAAAAACAGGGACGGTCCTCCTCTGGGTTACCCATATGGGCTACAAAGCCCACTTCAAGGGGAAGCCTGGGATTCTCTACCCCAGAAGAACATTTTGTCACCGGCTTGCTACAGTTTTACCCCAGTCCCACCTTGCAGTGCCTTGCCAGAGGATGTTATGGTCACTATGACAACCACAGACCCGCAGCTTAATCTGAAACAAGCCATCAAACTGCAGTTTGAGGGTCCCACCAGTGCAGCCTTATACAAGAGAGAGACACCCCTCTGATTGGTGCTTCAGTACGTGTCCAAAGTTATCTACTGCTACACTTTCTTTCTTTAAAACTTTTTATTTTACTTTGTTAGAGTATGTGGGTTAATGCTGAAACAAAAAGTTCATCAACAGTAAATTCAATAATTTAGAGAAAGTAATTTATCAAGCAAAACTGCCTACTCTCTGGTTCCAGCATCTCCAATATGAGGATTTGCTGCTTTTCTCTTTTTAATATCATTTTATATATTGCAGAGGTCCCAATCTGGAAATTAACAGGTTATTTTGTGGTATCAAACAAACATAGTTGCCCCAGGTGGCATGCATTTAGGGCATTCACAAATATTTAAATTCTAATGACAATATCTTTGTTTTAGGGGGAGTTGGACATTTTTGTTCAGTTCAATGAGAAGACATGTTCACCATGTACAATGACTTTCTGGGTTCAGATTAGAGAGGAAGTAATCACTTTCTCCACCCCCCTTCAGAAAACCAGAGGAACAACCAACTGAATGACATCAAAGCTTTACATTCCTGCCTTTCCTGTTGTGTGTTGAGCAGGGCTCTCACAGACAAGATCAAGCTGATTTAATTTTATGTAAACCATTGTACTGGGGACCGTGTTAGCTCCACAGTAAAAAACACTCTTTATTATGGAACACAAGTGTCTAGGTTGGGTTATGTTTTAAATTATTAAGTAAAGATCCCTTTTTTAGGCAGTAAACAACCTTGTTTTAGAGATTTCAATTTGTGGCCTTGACCTTTATTGAAGCCTTTGATATTTACTATATACTGGCCTTCATGTCCCATAGGTCCATTGCTGACAACCAAACCAGTTTGCAGAAAAGCAAGTCTTCCAAAGCCTACCCGAGTGCGGGGTTTATGATACAAACTATAAAAGACAGCCAAGTTTACTGAATCAACTTGGCTCACTCACAGTGTGTCTGAGCAGGCAGGCAGGCAGGAAGGAAAGTGAAAACTGGACGTTAAGGACTGAGGGTGGATGTGGGAGGGTTGTTCATTCCAAACGTGTATGTGGCCTAAAGAAATGGCCTAGTTCTTTATAATTTTTCATTGGATTAATATTCAGTTACATTAATTCATTAAAATGACAAACGGTGCCATAAAATTGTCTACCTCTGCTCTGTTTGCTTATTTGTGAATGTGTGTGTACATGTTTTATTTCTTGCATTTTACAACTAAATGTCATTGAGAGCTTCTAATGTGGTAGCATCATGCAGAGATGAAAGACTAGCAGCGGGCCGATGGTGGCCACCTAAGATTTAATAAAACCAAGCACTTTTGGACAGTTTTGAAAGTGGAGAAAGGAAGGCTCTGCAGACAGGTCCACTAGTGATTATTCCTCCATTTTTTGGATATTTTGTATCTGTGAAATCTTTTTAGTATTTGAACTACATTTCTGATCTAAATTTTACATGTGCACTTCAATGAAAAAGCATGTGTGCTCTATTTGATTATTATAAGCTCTTCTGTCAACATTTGCCCTGATGAAGGTCTACATTTTCGCATAGCCTTTTGTGGCCATTCTAAGGCACACCTGTGCAATACCCATGATGTCTGATCAGCATCTTGATATGCCACCTGTGACGTGGAATGATTGTCTCAGCAAAGTAGAAGTCCTCACTAACACAGACTTGAAATAGGCCTTTTGTGTACATAGAGAAAGTCTTAGATCTTTGATTTCAGCCAAAGTCCTTATTGGCAAGTCATGCCACTCGGCCACCATCTTGGCAATGTCTCTGGCCAGCTATTTTGGGCTGACAAGACCAGGCTCCTATCTTTAATATTTAATATTTTGCTACTTTTCAGCTCCTTAGGAGTCCTACAAATTGGCTCATGTTAGCTGTTATGTTACATATGCAATACATACTCTTATAGCTTAGAATATGGATACAAACCCAGACAGAAACATTCTGTTTTTCAGGAAGATTTATGAAGGAACTGCTCTTTGAGAAAGCTACATATAAATGCTAACCCAGATGTGGGGTGGGACTTAAGCTCTCTGTAGCTGAGCACAGGATGCAGTTGGAGGCAGAATGTTTCTGTTTGATATACCTAGAATGTCTCAAGAATGTATATGACGATTGACAGCCAAGCATCTATTCCTTTTCCCTTTTTTCTCCCACTTCTGAAGAACATTTTGAAAAGCTCAATTTTCAGTGGTGAAAAAAGTCAATTTCATTGGTGTGGCAGAAAGGCCAACTAAGAGAAAAAGATGGTCTTTGAAATCATACACATCAGTGAAGACATTAGTATTTTCGTAAGTAGTACTGGGCATCCAGCAGACTACTGAACTTTATTTTAGTGCCATACTCAGCACTGTCTCCAAGGTGACTAACATGATGTTTGTATGCATAGGCAAGTCACGCTACTCCCAAGTCGTGCAGACAGCTCTGTTACTGCTTTTATAAGGACAAGCTGGAAAGGTCAGCAGTGGCTTTCCACTGCTCTACCTCTCTTTAATCACTCTAGAAGAAACATAAGTCTATATGGTCTGTAACGTAAGGTAAGTACAAAAGCCAACTTGTTTTGGAAATGTGTTTGTGTGATATTTGTGAAAAGGATCCAAAGCTAAACACCAGGTATACACAGGTGTACAGAAACATAAAACAAAGTGCTGAGGGAATACAACAATATTGGTATTTGCTTTACACTGTGAGAATCAGAGACTATGAGCCTCTTATACTGTACAAATGTGTGTTACTCTGTAAATAATCGGGTCATTTTATGTTGGCATCTTGTGCGTAGGAGCCCAGTCATTTCCATAATTCTTCCTCCGCAGCTCATCAATGAATACAGTGAGCACAAGGTTACAATGTTCTTATATAAATTGAATAATCTGTAATTTAAACAATGTTTGCTCCTAACAAACTGAACAAGTATAAAGTTTTAAGACATTATCTCTAATGTACTGGTTGGACAGTTACATTTTTTGTTAGTGCAAAATAATAATAAATCTAATAATTTAGGCAGCTTGTGAGATAAGCTTGATATCATTTGTCAACTTGATCTATGTGCTGCTGGACATGGAATGTTTCTAGGGAATATCTAGATTGTCTGGAAGCATGTGAACCATTTACTGTTAAATAAAATACAAGAGCTGACTATGGAGTTGGACAAGTGAAAGGGGGAATAGAGGGCCAGTGCACTGGGAATAGGGGTAAGCTAATTGAGGAATAGGAAAGCTGGATGACAGGATGACCAGCTGGCTGGGAAACAAGAAGGCTTGCTAACTGAAGAACAATGAAGCAGCAAGATAGTTCATCCGTTGGGAAACAGGTGGACCTACTGACCGAGAAACAGGAAGAGGCACTTTGTAGAGACAGAGATCAAGTTCACTGTGAAAAGACCAAAAAAATGGGGAGGGAGTCACCCCAGGCTTGGTTTTAAAGGTACTATTAGTAAAACGTTTCTTTAGTAACATCTAGTGGCAGTGGCAGAAAAATACAGCAATGTACAAAAAATAGCTTGCGAGCTTGTGTTAGCTGCTTACATCATGGGTTTCCTGTCCACCAAACATAATGTCAATTCTATCAAGTGAAGAGCAAACTGTTATTAGTTAGTTTATTCTAGCAGCCTGAGATGTAGACTAATTCCAGAAGCACTGGGCCAGGTAGTTCAGGAAGTCTTGTGGTGCAGAAAGTACCCAGCACAAATCTCATTTTGACAAAAGCTGTTTTACATTTGGCTATGTGGTATTGATATATAAACCCATGTTTTTACTGCATGAGCCCAGATCCTAAAGGGACCAGCGTGAATGATGGAAAGAAAATGTCTGAACAAACTATTTGATCTGTGAAGAGGTTGCTATGAATCTCTTAGATGTGCAGGAAATTGACTCAAAATGCAAACAAAGCCCTTGTGTTATTCTTCACTTGGCAACAAATATGAGTAAGTGGGTGTTAGACTCAAGAGATTCCTCCTTCAGTAATTTTGTGTGCAATTTGTGGTTATTCGTTTTCATCAGCATTTCAATTCTGATTGTGTCAGTGTACTGCAGAATTTAACTCATGGTTTCCCACAAGTGCAAGAAATGGCTGGTATATTGTGTCAAATAAATGACAGACGACACCACCGCAAATGATTGGTAAGTTAATGTCAAATAGTACTGGAAAATGGCTGATATAGTTTATTAAAAAGATAATCACATTCTCCATTCTGTAAATTAATTTGTAGCTGTAAGCTATATTTTATGTGGTGGCTCAACCAGGGTATTTCTGGAAAGGCAAATCAGTTTCATATTACCAGGATTTACTAGGTTTTATTTTTAATTTTTTTTGTTATTTGAGATGAAAAAAGCCAAGTGAGGAAAAGTGAAAATAAAAGACACAATTTCAACCAACATTTTCATTTTATTCTTATTTACTGTTAACTTGCAGTCATCACAACAGTAGATTTTCCAGGAATAAACATATCTATAATCACTCTTCATTCTATAGTCATAAAAACAAAAATGACGACACATGAAACCAGCTTTTCTTTTCAAACAATGGCTCACACCCACAACTGTACGCACTACTAAGATTTCCCCAGATTTCCATATTAATATGTCATCTAAGAGAACATGGGAACATTTTGGATGTAACCCAAATGAAAGAAAAAAACTCTGATTGCTTACTTTACTGAAAGGAGCAATACTACAATGGAAAAACTAAAAACTTCATAACATGTAGAAGTATTGTATTAAAAACTGGACATAAGAAAAAGTAAAAAGTATTAGCTGCAAAAAGTATCAAAAGTAAAAGGAATGACTGAAGGATGGTCTCTGTCACAGGGTTAAATTATTGATGCATTAACATTTGAACAGTATAGTATAGTATTTGAGCTACTATTTAATTATACAGTTTAGGGGGTTTAATGTGTCATATTGTTGCTGTCTGCGTTAAATAAAACATGTCTCATTTTTTAGGATTGAAATGGGCTACTTTCATATCAGGTGAAGGATTACATGATCCTCCAAAGTTTTGGAAAACTGTCTAGCCTCTTTCCATTTCCAAAACTAATTGGATCATTTAAGAAATGCATTAATGGAGCAAAAGTAGTAATGTGACTTTATCTCATACTGAAGGTAAAGTCTTAATCAGAAAAGTAGCAAATAATTGCCTCTGAGTGGTAGTGGAGTGAAGGAGTAGAAAAGTATCCCAAACATCAAAAACACTAGCAGTAAAGCAACATTATAATAACTTCACACCTCTGCCTGATCCCAAATAAGCAATGGTCCCCTGAATGAAACATCTGCTATAAACAGACACATTTCACAGAGGAGAATTTGGATGACATTATGGTTCCACAGCTGATGATTCACCAACCCACGAGTTAAATACAGAATCCATGAAAGAGTGGTGGATTTATGTGACAGACACTGCTGGTGAAAGAAGGGAGTGGGAGGACTGAAAAAAGCCACTGAGCTCCACTCAACAGTAAAGATCAGACAGCGTGAAAAATTGTAGAATTTGCAGGAATTACTGAAGCTAATCATGTCAAGATTCAACTGAAACATTGGGCCTCATGCGAGAACATTTTCTCATTTTCATGTTACAGTATTTTTTCAATTGCTATGATGCAATGGTCAAAACTGAAGCCAGTCACTCTTCACACAGTCTGCATTACATACATGCATCTTGGCCAAACAGTTATGCTCTCCTCCAAAAGTCACTCAAACCCCCAAAACACTTGATACAAGTCTCAAAATAAACTCGTTCAACCAAATCACTGGCAACTCAGAAAGCACACACTGTCACTCATAACACACTGAGCTACAAAACACTAACAACAGGAAGCATTACGTAAATATAATGAACTTTTATCTTTGAAATGTGACTGATTTTTCATATATATCAGTGTTTCATATAGAATGCAGTTGTTCTCAGTCACATTGGTACATTTCTCAGATAGGTCTCAAGTGTTATTGTTTATCTCGCCTTTTCTAGTCCCGGGTCGCTTTGTACTGGTATATCTTAATGCAATGGTGCATGCTGTCAGACACTGCTAGTTGGCCCTCAGGTAGCAGGGTCAGCCCACGTGGACTACTCAGTCCATGAGTTACCATGGACCTCCCCACTCCCTGTGCTGGGTATAAAAGGACTCTGTGCTGCTCCCCCCAGTCCG